TGCTTCCTTTAGTTGAAGGATCATTGAAAGATGGAATATAAGTTGGAATATTTAGATGGTTACCAAGAAGGTCAATTACATTTTTGCCATTAGTGAATCTTCCAGTAGGTTCTAATAAAGGAAAATCTACTCCATATGGTAAGTAATTTGCCTTAGCCAATGACTTCACAAGAAAATTGTTGTTTCCATTATCAACTAATGAACTTCCAAACACAAACATTCCTTGCACTTTGTTGCATTTATCATTTTTTCTTGCAAATTTGCAATTTTCACCATAACATATTGGTGAAAGAAAAACAAAGGTTAGTATCATAAGAAGAAAAAATGGAGCACTTTTTGTCTTTAGAGACATTTTTATTTTGGTTAGAGTATAGTTGGGATATGTTAGGGTAGATGTAGAAAATGTCCTCTTTATATACAAGTTATTTAATGCTATTGAAGGTCAACAAAGAATTAATGAAAAGATGAGATAAAAAAAGAAATGAGAGGTAAAAGTTTAGTATTTTTTTTTTATAATACTTAGATTCTAAACTTTGCTTCAAATTTTAATTTTGACCTTCGATTTTTATAATGAACAAACAGATACTTTAACTATCCAACTTTTAAATAAATAAACATACGAGTCCTACATGACACATTACATGCAGGACAACACGTATGACAAAAAATGACATGTAGAACATTTTTTATTTGTTCAATTTTATACAAATTTGAGTGTCTATTTGTGCACATCCAAAGTTAAAGGACATAAATATAATTTTAAGTTAAATTAAAAGATATATTTATAGATTATATTTTTTTTAATACTGATCTAAATTTTGATAGAAAAAGTTATATAATATTTTATAAAATTGACCAGGTACATGTAAGCTTGTCCAAGCACTAATGTTTATTTATTACCCCTTTAATTTTTCCTACCAACTTGGCCTCTACGAAGCTCAACACTTAATACCACTAATTTCTCGATGAATACCTCCTTATTAGCGCATCTCGTTTTTATACGTATGAATCATTTTAATTTAATATCTATTTTTTTCATCTTATTTAAATAGTATTGCTTTTATTTTGCTTTATATACTTTTGTTTTTAATTATATCTTTTTTAATATAGATAAATTTACGTAAGTTAAAAAGGTATTAAGTGACACTATTTTATTCAAAAAATTTAATATATATATATATATATATATTTCAAATCTAGAGTTTGTCATTCCTATTATAGATTTGAAGTTCTTCATTCATCCTTCTTATTGACTTATTTTTAAAAATGTTTTTTTGCTTCCACCTTTTTTCACCAATAAAATTAATGAAGGCCAATTTTTGAAAAATTTAATATTATTAATTTTAAAAAGTCATTTTGATTATACAAAATTAAAAGATTCATGGTTTATATATATATATATATATATATATATATATAGTTTAAAGAACGAT